GTGTGGCCGTTTCCCTTTGGAATAAACGTCCAAGAGAGGCTCAGGTCCCTTCCTCAAGTTCTTACCTATATTAAGTATTGTTGAGCATTCATTGTATTTATATCAGTTTTTAATATGTTGTAAACTGCCCGGAATGTGTGAGCACTACTGGTGTACAAACCGAATTAAAAAATGATCTTCTCTTTTTCCTTCAGCTTTCCCCAGCATTACTGTCTTTTGTCTTTTTATTCTGTGCTCAGGTACTACAGACTCAACTTAGTCATGTTTGCTTCTAGAGAATGTTCAGGCATGAATTGAACTAGAACCAGATTATTTGTCTTTCTGCTGGTCCCTGGTATCTGTAAAGCTCTTGTCCAACATCAAAGTTCAAATGAAACAACTTTTTTCCTGTTGGATTTCTTCATTATCCAGCTTTCACATTTTACACAGTAATCAGAAATACAATAATGTATGATCTTCACCTTGGTCTCTAGTGACATATCCTTGCCCATTCGTAGTTGTTTCACAAGCTCCATTTCTGTGTCTCAGTCTTCTGATTTCATTTGGACAGATGACTGAATTAAGGTATAGAGGGTTTTAAAAACAATTTCAATATAGTATCATCTGCATATTTCAGATCACCCATACGCCTTCCAGCACTTTATAGTCCTGGTTCAACTGAATCTAATTTTAATGATATATTATGCATGTAGGTTGAACAGGTGGAGAAATAAAATACAATCTTTGTCTGAGACTTTTAAGATCATGTTCTTAATATTTATTCTACAAGTTAAAGAACAAGGACACTCCCCCCACTTAAGTCATTAAGTCATACTTAAGTCATTAAAGAGTAACACAATACAAGTATCATGGTATATGTTCCCATTCTGAAAACATCTGTATGGTTCCACATAAAATGAACAGATCTAACATTCCAGATCCAAGAAGCCAACCACAGACATAACTACATTGCTTAAACTGTGAGGATTGCTATCATGCATTTATCCACAGACACTCCTTGAATTCTGTGCTACTAGAATCTCCTAACCATTTATTCGTTAAGCACACAAAGATCTTTGAACAAAAGTGCTTAGATGCAAGTCGTGTGCTGTGTCCTGCGAAAATTAAGCATCTAAAGACAAATATTTCATGTTTTAAAAGTGAAAAATGTAACATTTTCAGAGTACCAGCTTCAATTTTAAAAAGATAACACCAAATACACTCACAAAAATATACTGTACAGTTTTTGTGGGGGGGACGCTTGACCACTTTCCTATTATGCCAGCAGATGAATACAACAGCCTTCATGGCACATGTACCTTTGCAGCACTATGCCCCACCTGCACCCCTATGCTTCAGTCATTAAACTGAAACATAGTCCTATTCAATGCGTCAGAGTGAGGAAAACAGCCTTTTCCATCAGCAGAAAAAAATACCTCTTTAAAAAAATAGAGAGACAGGAAACTAGTATTTTTGGCATTGTGCTAAAGAAATAAGGCTTTTGCTCAACATAGAAAAGATGGCTTAAAGCACAACTGCAAATTCCCTTCTTCTTGAAATGGAATATTAGCTTGTGTTAGCTGTACATGTTATCTACACTATTAGAATCCAGTGCAAGGAACATGAATTCCTGCTCAGGTTTGATTGTCTCTGTAGAGAATATAAACCGATGCAGAGATCAGAGTCAAGTGAGGCAATGACAGAAAAGTCACTCAAACCCCACTATATGTACCAGCACCTGAACAGAATTTGCTGAGAAAAATGTAGTGGAATAGCAGGCAAGAAAACCACTAGGTATGAAAATCTATCCCATGAAACATTGATTGCTGCAGTAATCATAGAACTGTCAGGATGTGGAGAAGAGGGCAACTTGATAGAGAACCAAACTGTCATAATCAGGTTGGTTACACTCTAATCCCAAATATATATGAAATCCATAGCTACAGATAAAAATAAGAATAATTTCCTCATTTAAAAAAAATTGGCACAGGATCTGTCCCTGACAATAACAAGATTATTTCAGTATCCTGTACCTGACCATAAGGTGTCTTAATGCACATTTTTATTAAAACTTTCATTTCAAGTGTACTGAAATTTCAAACTTTGCAGTTTCTTTCATACTTTGTTATAACATAAGGAAATCCATTTCACACTGAGGAGTGTACTAACTAGAGAATCCCAGATACCACTGATGATAGTGGGATATGGTTTTAACTTCTACAGTCAGTTCATCCAGTGCTGGCTCAAGCATCTTGGGTCTTATGGTTGTCTTGTGTGAATTGACAATAACACTTTTTTCTGCTTACACGCTGTAGAAGTGTGCTTACGTGGCCTTTCAGATGGTTTTGGACTGAAACTCCAATCAGAGAAGTTAACTGTAAGGGATAATGAGAGTTGCCCTCCAGCAACATCTGAAAGATGACACATTGTCCATCCCAGAACGAAAAGCAATTCCACAAAATCTCCACACTTCTTAGGACAGTTCATCTCTGTCTTGGCTGTTTTGTTTTACTAAGCATTGGACATCTCTAATAATACATTGGCTATAATGTCCGATTTGGATTTCTCCATTGAATTGCATGAGTCCAAACAGTGCAGTTTTAGTTATATACAGATTTTTCAATAAATAAATAATATTCATTTAATAAATATTAAATAAATATTGTGCTGCTGTTTGTCACTAGGAAGTGATGTGAGAAAAGTAGGTCTCAGATTTACTGAGGCCCTTGTTATTGTTAGTGCAGCAACCCCAGGTCTGACAGAATGTCTCCTGGCATGGCGGCTCCATGTGGTCGCCGAGTGCCGGAGGGGGGGGGAAGAATGCTGGCAGGTTAATCAATTGTTTGTGGGCTAAGTGGGGCGTGGCTATGTTTTTGATGCTTTCTTCATTGTTGGACACTGCCCAGAGTAGTGGCAAGGCCACTAGATGGAGCGGTATAGTAATATAATAAGCAAGCAAACAAATAATAGAAATTATACTTTGTACAGCAGTTATACGTATTTCTGGAGGCATAAGAGCTATACAGAGTTAGGGTCTAGCATCCGTAACCACAGTGTTTCTGAAATGAGCCAATCATGAGATAGTCTGAACTGTGGTTTTCAATTAGCAAGTTTTTAATCACTGACTGTACAATAATACTTGAACAACTCTTCAAATGTACTGAAGTGATATAAAGTATGGACAAGCAGTGCCTTAATCGCAGTTTGTTTCTCTATGTGTATCCTTATTTGAAAAGAAACATGCACAGTGCAAAGTACAGCAGCATCTTCAAGGCCATATTGCTCCCTCAAGTTTTCAGGGCATGCCAGACAGATTAAGGCATAAAGGGAGAAGCTGCCCAACACAGGAAATCGAGATCTTCTCTGCAGATCCCAAAGTGCTCTGCCTAGAGTTTTGCTCCAGGGACAATTTCCAGTTTACATTTTAAGTGTACAGCTAAGATTTATTAATTATCCTCCTAAAAGTAAAAGAATGAATGAAAAAGATAATTTGGAAACACAAATATTATGCAGGGCATGTTAAGAAGCTGTTATACTTTAGTGGAGCTCACTGACCAGTATATACTTCTTCAATTTACTGATATACTATCTGATATACCCTAAATATATAAAAATGCCAACTTAGAAGTTAAAGACCTGTTACCAAGGAATAAGCTGCGAACAACCAATGGACTGTATGCTGATTTAGCTCCCTTATTGTTCACGTTTTAGCTATAGTCTGTTCCAATGTGAAAAATAACAACCTATTGATATCTTTGTTGTTGTTTAGTTGTGTCCGACTCTTCGTGACCCAATGGACCAGAGCACGCCAGGCCCTCCTGGCTTCCACTGCCACCTGGAGTTGGGTCAAATTCATGTTGGGCGCTTCGATGACACTGTCCAGCCATCTCGTCCTCTGTTGTCCCCTTCTCCTCTTGCCCTCACACTTGATATCTAAAGCCAAGTAAATCCTGTTTTCAAGTTCTCTATCACCTGGGGATGTGATGAGTTCTACTCTAAGGTTACAGGGAAACATCCATCCTATTCCAAGTTACGGGTAAAGGTTAGCCCAGTTTTGGCCATGATTAACTTGTAAGAATCAGCCAAATCAGCCAAACAAAGCACAAGAAGTGCAAAGGGTGTCTCCTTACTTTTTACTACTTGTAATTCAAAAACTACCCACTTCTATAGGAGCTTTTTATAAAAGCCTCAACTACTACATTTTACAAGTACAGTTTGACTGCCATGTTTTAAAGTTTTTCAAACATCTTCACAGTAGTTTTAATGCAAAAATACTCTTATGAAAATTTGCCAGCAATGGCAAATACACTTCCAATTAATTCAATTTTCTTCAGTGTGTCACAGTATTATACTAGCACATGTGTCAGTCCAGCAGGAGTTCTATAGTGAGAACTTGTTCATCATGGTTTCACAGCACTAGTGCTTGATAGATAGTAATAACTAAGTAAATAAAATAATCTTCTGCAAGCTAGAAATTTAAATTCATTAAAAGCTACAAAACAAAAAGCCTTGCATAATAAATTGAAAGTGTTTTATACTGTGGTTACATTTTCAGCAGTTGATTTTGTTAAAATACCAGTGGAAATCTTTTGCTTTTATGCTACAAGGATTGGCTGGAGGTCTGAGAAAGCAAATACCTCATAATTTTCCAAATTTTCATAAACTGAATCTGCTCATCATCTTCTTCCTGTGAATTGTCTCAGACCATGAGACAGGATTAGCCAAGTGGGCCAAGATTAAGATCAGGGCAAAACAGGATACAGTACATTAGTAACAAAGGGTCACTTACCAAAGCCTTTAACCAGAGCCTCTTGGTGCAGTGGTTAAAACTGCTGTACTGCAGCCAAAACTGTGCTCATGACCAGGGTTCAATCCCAGGTAGCCGGCTCAGGGTTGACTCAGCCTTCTATCCTTCCAAGGTCAATAAAATTAGTACCCAGCTCGCTGGGAGAGGGGGGGCAATGTGTAGCCTGCATAATTAATTTATAAACTGCCCAGAGTGTCCCTGAAGCGCTATGGGGTGGTATATAAGCAGCATGCTTTGCTTTTTACTAGTCAGAAAACAGATTAAAAAGACATAGAGTACTCATACTCCGGTGCTTTGGAGGGAAAGTTTTGGGGTGAATCTTCTTACTGAGCCTTTGCCTGAAACATGCCAAGCCTCTTTGTGCTGATTTCATTTAGCTGAAATCAGTCTTAGCTCCCCACAATTCAGAATTTAGCCAGAATATCTGCTAGCCTAGATGACACTCCTGAATTCCTAGTCTCTGGCCTAGGACCTCAGTTAGTTTGCCCTCTCTTGTGATCCTTGCCCAAGAATCCCCTTACTTTGTTCCAGCTGGAGTTTCAATGTTCTCCAGCCCAAAGACACTCTAATGAGACTAAGCAGGAGAGGTAATCTTTGTCTCCCTAATCCATCTTGTGTATTTTCCCCAGACACTGGTGGTTCCCCAATCGACCTCCCACTTTTCTTTCTGTGTGTGTGTGGTTTTGGGAAAGATCCTTTCTCCCTTTCTGTCTTCTTCATATCCTTGTAGCACATCGGCAAATAGTCTGCTAAGGTACTGTAGATCTTTGCAGAGCAGCCCAAATCTCAGAACCCTCTAAACTATGCAAATTTGCCTCTTATGAATATATTTCCCCATAGTGAATTATATAATTTATTGTTGAATTTTGCTATATCTGTGTGTTCAATAAAATTCCCCTTGTGAATAGCTTTGTGTGATATACTCAACCCAATCTACCTTAAGATACACTACTGCCATGATTCAACAATTTCTTACAGAGGTAAGTTCATACATGTTCTATGAGAGGATACCTGGCAATTCTGTACATTTTGGACTGCTTAACTCTAACATCAGATGGTGTTTCTACTGTTTCAAGTACTACAAATGTAAGATCTCTGTAACTGGCAACCCCTCCAACACTTGATCTGCTATTGAGTCTTGTTTAAAGATGGACACACTGCCAATTTGGCGATTTGTCTGTTGGTCCAAGACGTGTTCTCTGGTTCTCAGCCCTGCCTCCTCCAGCAGGCATCCACTCAAGGCCTGGAGGAGGCAAGGCAGGGAACCTGGGCCACTGCTTCTGAGTGGGTGCCTGCTGAAGGAGGCAGTGCTCGGAACTGTAGAACACTTGTTGGACTGAGGGATGAACCAGTGGTTCGTGCCTATCTCTAGCCTAGTTGCCAGGCATATTTCCGCCTTATGTTCTCCCTACAGACAGTCCACAAAACGTTACGTATCTCCTTTAGGGAGCTACCTTTGCTTTCAAGGCTTTGCTAACTGCTAACTGAAGTGCAAAATCACTGCTTTTGGATTTATCCAAGCAATATGCAGTGTTGAATATTTATTTGTCCGTAGCAGTTTGATGCTTTACCATCAAAGTGCCATATATATATAAACTAAATGAGGAAAATATAATGCTCAGAAGACAAATATTAACAGCAAAGAATGACTAGGAATAAAGTTATTTCATAAAGGACACAGAACTAGGGGACCATTATGAAAAGTAATTAGTAATTAGAAACTGTTGATACCTTTTTCTGTTTTCTATTCAATCCTTTACTTGTTCCAAGACAAGTCTGCACTGTGGTGGAAGATGTCTACACTAGATTCTTCTGCCCCCAGGAAAAGTGTCTCCTCACCCCGCACAGTGGCGATCTCTGTTCTCAGCTGTTTAACTTTCTTTAGGTTATTTAGAAGCTGGGAAGGGAGACACTTTTTTTTCTACTTTCTGAAACCAGAATTGATGAGCTGTGGATAAACAGTAAATATGAAATGGCAAAAGAAGGGGCCCTCCATTTGGCAGCAACTGATTTGTTACAGAATACATAACCAGTTTATGAATAAAACAATTGAAAAGAAATCTACAGAAAGAGATACAAATAAAGAGATTGTTTGGACATTAACAGATCACATTACTTTGTGCAAAAGTGTTTTCAGGGAAACAGTACTGCAGCTATAAAGCTGTAACTTGTCAGTTATGTCAGAACTGACACTATGTCAGAAAGCACAAGGGAATTATTTCAGTGACAGAAACACAACTACCTACTCTATCCTTAGACGTCAATGTGAAACCCATGTTTGATCAACATCAGTTCTCTTGTTCCAGTTAAATACATAATGAAAGAACAGAGATGAGGTAAAGAAGCTGTGATTGCCACATAAAGCCAATAGGGCAAAGGAACAGTCTTTCCAAATGGGCAGATCCACAGGCCGTGACGAATTCCATCTCTAACATGATGTGAAGTCCAGGATATAAAGAGCATCCAGGGAAGAAAGCACCAGGAGTCCTTCAGCTTAAAAAGATGCATTATAAGTTTTAACATCAGACATGCAACAGGGATCACAGTAGAACAGTGAAGGAATGGTCTTCGTGGAAGAGTAAAGGCAGCCTGAGTAAAAGAGAAACACAATTCACAAGGTAGTCTTACTTGGCATTTAATTTAAACTATTCTTAATTTTGATAGAAAATGCATACAAAATTCAAAGAGAAATTGTTACAATCATGATGTTTTCAACATATTACATGCTGTCTGCCCAAATTTGCTATGCTGCTTTATGTTTTGGTAAAGAATACTGTCTTGTTTACTGCCCAAGTTGATCATTTTGTTCCAGATTGCCAGATGCTTCCCCTCTTGCTTTTACTTAATTGTTAAACTTGGAAGGAGGGGTATTGTCAGTCAGAGTCAGCACCCCTCACTTTGGCAACAAGCTTGCTTCATATGGCTGTCTTTCAAAATCTGGATGGTAGTGAAGCAGGATATGCCAACATCAAACTTCTACCTTTGGACAGCTGGTGAATTTCCAGAAATATCACTCCTTGATTCAAATGAATGAAAATGGATCATGTGTGCTTAAAATTACCCAAGACTGATGACAAAACACTGGATGCACATAGAATCATAGAACAATTGAGTTAAAAGGGGCCTATAAGTCCACTGAGTTCAATCCCTGTTCATTATAAACACAATAGTTTATAAATCATTCTATTTCCAGATCTTCATCCAAAAGCGATCATATATAGCTCAAATAGCACCACCCATGCACAGAAGAAGGTACTGTATCAGCAGACCGAATGAAACCAGAGACTGCTGAAGTATGGCAGATCTTCAGGATCTTGTTTTCTTCAGGGAAACAGTTTGGGTAGAGAAACCGTCTCCAAATACTGTAGCACAATAAGTTCTGTGACTGCAAAACGTTAACTGATTACGGGGGCAGAAAAGAATGGAAAACTAGAAGGGAGAGGTAATGGAATAGCATATACTGGAAAATGGCAAATGGGAATGAAACACATAGATACAAATATTCCTCATCTGGATAGGTCATTTTCTTGTTCAGATTAGAAGCTGTTTTTAAATATTCCATTACAGGCCTTGATGGAAAGCTATAAGACTTCAATACAAATGTGACTGAGATAATGTAACCCCTATTCACAAAACAAAGAAACAACCACCACTGTGGTTATTTAAAGTATGTTAACTGAGGTTGGGTGGGAAGAAACACATTGTTTCTTTCTTATCCCTGCTGTTGATGCTATCAACTGATACCATAAAATGGGAAAATCACACATCCTCCCTCCACTCATCAGTGGACTTATAACATTTGAATGTGTGACATAGTACAGAAAGCAACTGCACAATGACAGCAATATAGATATTTGATGGCAATAGTTGGATGTTGGGACTCTTCTATAAAACTGCTACCATTGTTTTTCTATTCCTATTCCTTCCAATTTGGACAAATTGGTTTTCAGTTTAGGGCATTTTCCTTCCTCACTTTTGTACCTTAATTTTTTTCTTGTTCTTTTATGATTCAGAACAATAATAAAGAATTTAAAATATATAACCCTCTCTTGTGTAACTTCCTAAGCAATGTAGTCTACCATTCCAACTGCAGGTTTGGAAGGGTTCCAATTTGGTGAATGGGCTTACTACAATCCTACAGTGTTGGCTAGTGGTATTAAGCCCCAACTACAGGTTGAGCTAAAGCTGAAGGAGCACTGCACAACAATCCTTCAGGGTTATTTACTGGTTTTAGCCCCCACTGTAGGCTGTACACTAAGAGTGCTACATAACAACCCTAGAGCTTAGGGTCAATCCAGCAAGGCAATCCTGTTAATGCTGACAGAATCTGCACTGTCAAGAAGTTCTTCCTAATGGCCAGATGAGAATTTATTTCTTACAATCTGAATCCATTACTCTGATTCCTGCCTACTGCTTTGTTCCATCCATGACAGCCCTTCAAGTATTTGAAGACAGCTGTCATATCTCTTAGTATTCGCTTAACAGACCCAGCACCCTCAATCATTCTTCAGAGGGCTCAGTTTCCAAAACTTTTTCTATCATGGTTGCTTGCCTCTGGGTATGTTCCAACATCTCAATATTTTTCTTCAACTGTGATGCCCAGAACAGTAGCATGGTGTAGCCCACATTTTAATAGCTTAGAATATCGTGAGAGACATTATGAAAAAAAAGCCTTGCTGAAGTTAAGCACACTATATCCACAAACTCTGATGTTCATTATTGTAAATTATTCTGCGCAATTGCTTTTAACCTCAATTGTAAACTGTTGAGGGCATCTTATATTGGCTAGAAAAATAAGATATAAATATCAGAATAAATTTCACATTAACTCCATTCATCTAACAAAATGCAACAAAACCTTGACATGCAATGTTAGTTAACAGTCTTTAGGCTCTTGTACCAGACCACTACTCAGTAATTACATATTGTCAAGTCACCTCCAACTTATAACAGCCCTTTTCAGGTACAGAGTATTCAGAAGTAATTTACTGTTCCCTTATTTTCAGGGCACCTTGGGACTGTGAGGAACAGTGGGGACAATGGCTCCATAAGCCAGACACCTAACTCCCCAAACTATCCATCCAGCCAGTTTACTGCATGGAAAGTAATAAGCACACTAAACATACAAACTTAAAGAAGAAGAAAATAATCCAGATTCTAGATTCATATTTGGTGCCAAAAGCAAAATAAGCTCCTGAAAGTTAAAAAGTCTACATGCAAAAGCAATATGATTCATTGTGAATTGTGCCATCTTCTGGAAAGATGTAAAGAAACAGTTAAAGCTTCTTGATTTAAAACAAGACAATAGTTTTGTAAAGATCAAAATCTAATAGAACTAGTTCCTATTTTGGCACATTTTCTTTTTCAATGCACTTTCCTTTATATTAAACACCATGAAAAAAAGGAACAGCAAACAAGAACTAAATGTCTTTCAAACAACCACAGTCCTGTAGCAAAATATTTAAATATCTAAACTACATATAGTAGGGGTCTCTACTGCATACTTTCAGTATTAATTTGCCTTATTAAAAGCTCTGATCCTTCAACATGCACTCTGCCTATTCTCATCCCCCAATTCCCTGCCTCCAAAATTTGACGGCATGGTGTTGGGAAAAGAAAGGTGCAATTTCCTTTTGAAACAAGGCATTTCTGAAAGTCAGCAGATGTATGTAGTACAGTAGTACCTCAACTCTGATGTTCATTATTGTAAATTATTCTGTGCAATTGCTTTTAAACTCAATTCCAAACTGTTGTGGACATCTTACAGTGTTTCTTATGGGCGATTTTCGCTGGACGATGTTTCGGTCCGTGCTTCGCAAGACTTTTTCCCCCCGGAACCGATGCTTCACAAGACGACAATTTTAACAGCTGATCAGCGGCTTCGCAAAATGGGTTCCCTATGGGCGATCTTTGCAAAACGGGTGTTTTCGGGACTGATGCTTCGCAAGACAGTGATTTAAACAGCTGATCAGCGCTTCACAAAATGGCTTCCCTATGGGTGATTTTTGCAAAACGACCGACTATTTTCCCCATTGGAATGCATTAAATGGAAATGCTTTTCGCAAGACGATGTTTTCGCTAAACAGCGATTTCAATGGAATGGATTAACATCATCTTGCGGGTCATCACTGTATTATGAACTGTGAGGTTTCTATAAGGACATTTAGTATATAAGAAGCATATCACATAACCTGAAACACACCTAAATTTTTTTCACCTACATTTTGGAAGCATTTTCATTGCTTATGGCTTCCTGCTTGTCTTCTGCTGATCTTTGCGCTGATGCCCTGAAGCAAGACTGGTTTTGTCCAAATAATAAACTTTCTTTGTTCTCAGATGTGTGGGGGGTAGCACATAGTGCAGCATTCTGCAGCTCTCTTTTTAATACAGATCATAATCATAGAGTTACTTAAACAAAATTAAGGCTTTTATAGTTTCATATTTCTCAATTATGTCAAATGCTAAACCTTTCTTTACTAATTAAGTTATGAATTTTCTGATGCTAAAACAGTAAAATAAGCTTGATATCGCATAGACTTCAACCTTTTACAAAATTTCTGCAGTTTTTGAATGGAGAGAAAACAACACCTTTTACCAGGTGGCTTCAAGATTTCCAGAAATATATCTAGTGGGAAGTGTACAACGTTACCTATTTATCAGAGAAAGGTGAAAAGAATGGCTTCTTTTAAGGTATCTGATGGCACCAAACCCCAAAACTCTGGACAACCTTTCCCAATCGTTTCATGTAGAGGTTGAATAGCATGGGGGACAAGACTGAACCCTGGGGGATACCACAGGCCAACGGCTAGGTTATCAAACAGGATTCCCCCAGTATCACCTTCTGAATTCAGCCATCCAGATAGGATCAGAACTACTATAAAACAGTACCCCCAAGACCTATCTCAGAAAAAGATGCTAGAAGGAGACCATTGTTCATAGTAACAAAAGCTGCTGAGAGGTTCAGAAGAACCAACAAGGAAACACTTGCCCTGTCTAAGCCCTGGTGTAGGTTATCTGCCAAAGTGACCAATGCTGTCTCTGTTCCGTAACTGAAATTAATCTAAAAAAATATACTTAATCCAGGAACCTCTGGAGCTAAAATGCCGCAACATGCTCCAAAACCTTGTGCAAAACTGGAATAATGATGACTGGCTGATATCCAATGTAGTGGGATTCAAGGAGAGTTTCTTAAACAAATATCTTACTACTACCTCCCTTCAGGCATTCTGGCAAGCTGCCTTGTTGCAAGGAGGCATTCACATTCACCATTCCCGTAATCAACTCACTGGCTGCTTTTATAAATCAGGAAGGGCAAGACTCCAGCACAAACATGTGGCTTCACCTCTACAAAGATCTGATCCACATCCTCAGACAACACAAACTGAAACCCATTCTTGAAGGGCACAAATTTATATCAACAGGATCTGCATCAAGTAGTATAGCATCTAGGTCAGAGTGGATCTGAGCAACTTTATTTGTGAAGTGCTGTGCAAAATCTTCACAGCAGGCCACAAAGTGGTCACTGTCCCTCTCTTGTAGACATCTGTGGAGCAGGCTCTTGACTACCCAAAAGAGATCCACTGAAGGGCTCTGTGCAGACATGATGGTGGCTGAAAATCATGGCTTCTTCACTGTCATCATTGTCACAGAGTAGTTTTTTTCCATATTTCAACCCACATTTGATCACATCTTCTGTGAGTTTTCCACCATAATCTTGTCTGTGTCCCAGTTGTTTCATTATCCTTGGCTCCCTAGTAAACCAATGACCTAGTCTGGATGCATTCTGTGTGAAGGGACAGGATCAATCATGTCAATAGCCCTAGCCATTTTCCCATGCCAGTGATCAGTCATAGCCTTAACAGGCACACCTGCCAAAACAGCACTCCCCAAGAGCCATCAGGAAACCATCTCCTAGAGTGGAGCATTTTAATTGCCCTTTGCCCTTGCAGAGGGTCAGAATTTCAATAAGCCTAAATCCTACCAGGTAGTGATCTGTCCATGTCAACGGAACTACTGAGAACTCTTCCACACCCAGATCATCATCACCCTACCCAGTACAGAAAACCAAGTCCAGATTGTGCCCTGAAGCTTAAGTGAGGCCAGTTACCACTTGGGACAGCCCCAAGGTTATCATGGTAGATATGGGGTACTGAGATACTTCTGGCAAACTGGTCTCCACATGGATGTTGAAGTGCTCTAGTGCAAGTGAAGGCAACTGCAGCACACCTGAGTCAACTAAAACAGGGAGGCTGTTGTGTAGCAGCATGTGCAGTATATGAATGGAATCCCTATTCTGTCCTGGGCACCCCTCTCAGGCACATGCACTCAAGCCCAGCAGTCTTGAGACAGGGCACTAGGTAAGGGTGATTCAATCTCAATCTCAATAGACTATTACTATTCCAGGCACATGCACTCAAGCCCAGCAGTCTTGGGACAGGGCACTAGGTAAAGGTGATTCAATCTCAATAGACTATTACTATTCTTCCTCCCTCCCACCCCACTCCCAGGTCTGGCCTGCTGCTGCACAGATAACTCAGATGAGCAAATCTGAAAAGCACTATCTCCCCCCAGCTTCATCCAGCCTCTAAAATGCAAGCCAGTCAACATGTTCATTCAAGAAAAAATCCTGTATGTTAGCTGTCTCACCTTTCACTGACTTGCCTCCAGCATCCCTTTCCTTTGAAAACTTATCCCTCCACAACAGACAGAAGACCTCACAACAGTAAACAAAATCAGGTAGGCACGTAACACACTAGATAAGACCTCTCTTCCTTGTCTCTCTAAAGGTGAATGTCTGGAACTTTTTGTATGGAAGTACATCATCCTGTTCCAACAACCCCAGTATTATAAAAAATAATCCCAGTACTATGCAAAATTCTATTTTTAAATCTTGGGTTCTTCATCCCTACAAGAACAGTCATGCAAATGAGTAGGAAAAAGTTGATGGGTATGTGATATTAAAATCTCACTTTGAAATTCACTAACCACAATACTTCTAGTAAGGAGAAGGATATAAGCCCTAAGCATGCTATTCAGAGCTTCCCGAGAGGGAGTTAGACATAACTATAAAAATCAAAAGGAGTTCCACAAGAAACTATGGGAAGAAATGGGCAGGGAGAAAAAAAATCTTAGCTCAGACAGGTGCTTTATTTTAAGGTACTGAACAACATTGTTTTTCTTAAATACAGGATAACAGATAAAAGCTGCTACTTGCTTAAAGTAATGACTATCAAATTCCCTCATTTCACAAAATGGATATGGTATTTCTAGAAGGAATTTGGAGGAAGCAAGTCTCTGTGACAGGAAATTTCAAATTGTACAGGAAAATACTGCATTTAGGAGAGGCTCTTCTCTCTCTCAAAAATTAGAGTGTGCCAATGGCTGTGTAAGTGCTGCCTTCATTCTGCCAAAGAAGACTGTTAACAAAGACCAGAGAGAAAGGAACAATGCATACCATGAGGCCCAATCTCTTCTCTTGACCCATCTTTGCCTTCATCATAGCATAAGCCCCCACAATGACCTCAGGAGTTGAAGAGGAGAAAAACAGGAACATACTTCCTTCCACAAACATCATTATTAGGGCTTCAGAACATTCCATTTATCTTGAATTCACAGCAAGCCCCACAAAGGCTTTTGAAGGAGGATAGCATGTTCATTAACATGCCTTTGGCTCCATAATTTTGTGAAGACTGCAGGAGAAAAAACTGCAGTACAGGAACATTACAGCATTCAGCCTTCTCAAACCAATTCAAGGTTAAAAGGTAAAGGTTCCCCTTGACATTTAGTCCAGTCGTGTCCGACTCTAGGGGGCAGTGCTCATCCCTGTTTCCAAGCCACAGAGCCAGTGTTTGTCCACAGTTTCCGTGGTTCCGTGGCCAGCGTGAATAGACATGGAATGCCATGGTGATGCCTATTTATCTACTCGCATTTTTACATGCTTTTGAACTGCTAGGTTGGCAGGAGCTGGGAGAAGCAACGGGATCTCACTCTGTCGCATGGATTCAACTTTACAGCACACAGGCTTTTGACCTTGCAGCACAGAGGCTTCTGCAGTTTAACCCGCAATGCCACCACATCCTTCTTCTCAAACCAATTACTTGAGCACAATTCCCCCTTTGCAAAGGAATCCCATTTCCACTTCTAAGAAATACAGAAGCTTGGGTTTGCTACAGGAATATACTTCTGCTGGGATAGGTGATAGAAGTCCTAGTTCTAGTTGACTAACTTGGAGATGTCAGTAGCCATAGTTGTCCCTTTCACTGCTAGAGAACAAAGGTAAGATGTCTCCTCAATGGAACACAGAAGAAAGGTAGAAGTAAGCAAGTTATATTTGCAACCCTAAGAATAACCATCTAGGAAACCTAAAAATATAATTTCTCTATATTTTACCCCATTGCAAAGATGCATCCTCTTGAGGGTTTTACTCAGTCACTTTCAATGAGGATTACATAGATACTGCTATAACCTGAGCTAGGAAGCGTATGGCTTGAGTAGAAAAGCTGCTGGAAAGTTCTCCACATTGGGATTCAAGGAGCCAGCTCTGGGGATTGCTACCATGTTTCCCAAAAATAAGACCTAACCTGAAAATAAGCCCTTGTATGATTTTTTCAGGATGCTCGTAATATAAGCCCTACTCCAAAAATAAGCCCCAGTTAAGCTGAACCCCGTCCTCCACCATTGTGCAGCAACCAGAAGATGACATGACTCTATTTGAACAAATGTAGATGGTTGTACATGGGGGAAAAAAAACTACAAATAAGTCCTAACGTGTTTTTGGAGCAAAAAATAATATAAGGCCCTGTCTTATTTTGGGGGAAACATGGTACCACAATGTCAGCCTCTATACTTCAGCCTTGTTTTTTTAGGCTCAAGGAGAATCCACCCTCACAACTCAGGTTTGTTTATGCTGAGAGAAGAGGAGTATATCTTTCAGCTATGAAATCTCTGCGATGCAGAGTTTGGAACATTATTTCTTTTAAACTTCATCTTCCAGTTATTGTGTTGGCTGGGGGAGTATGGAAGCATGTGGTTCAGAAAGTAAGATTTACAAGCCCTGTTGCAATGTTGATCTTTAAGATTACCAATATTTCTGACTGTATAATGCCCATTTATTCAAGAAAGTTAAAATAAAAAAACTGTGATTTTCCTTACCTTTAGAGAAAGGGAGCCAGCTAAAATAAAATGATCCACGTCAATCACAGATGAGAGGAAGCCTGCTAACATCACTTCTGTAAAGTCACTCTTCTTCTTGAGTCCAATTACTATTGCCCAAGACCACAATCCCACAACACCATGCACAGTGTTATCAGAGAGTGCCCGCAGCCAGTCATTTTGTTGAATGAAAGAAAACTGTAAAAGCTTATCTGCAACAAAGCAGAAAATCCCCAATCCTAGGCTTGAAATAGCAGATGCTGTGCTGAACGACTGCAGTAGGGCATGGGCTTTTTCACTCTCCGATGCCATAGCAGGTAACATGTCTCCACACACAAAATGCCCTCAAGGTACGTACAGCCCATTGTCTTTTAAATCTTCAGTCATTCTGTAATCATCAAAGAAGGCTTAATGAGAGAGCTCATTAGAACTGAGTATCCCTAAATGAACAAAGACAATGGAAAAGCACGGCAATCTGAAAATTAATTCTGTAAACATATTGTTCTATTTTGCTCTTCTGTATGAAGCAAACCTGTGCATTTTGTATCAAACTGTGTCCCAGATGCATCTGCCTAGCATCTACATGATTCTGTCATAACAGAATTTATTTTTCCTACTGCTTGCCTAAATTTTCAAAAGCTCTAGTTATTATTTCATCTTATATCTGTCACTGCAGCTTGTACACAGACTTTCTTCATTTGCGCCTCTTCCCACCTCAATCCCATTCTGAACACTTGGTGTTCGTGGCTGTGATTTTTTTTTTTTGCAAGTAATCTAAAAACAACTATCCACAGCTTTTGGTCTTCTGAGAAAGATGAGATCAGCACATGTCATTCAAATCTGTTTTTATAACTGGTGCAATAAAATATATTACCATTTACTATAATGCAAGTCATATTTTATAATACTTATTAATGACTAAACAAATCATCATTCATAGACTCTTTCTTGTCAACCACATTCACATCACCCAGTTTTTCCTACAAGCAGTTATTCTGGGATCTGGATGATACATTCAGAGTTGTAGTACAATATAGAACAGTGGTTCTTCTGAACATACATGATTTATCCTTGATACATCAGAACAGTGGTTAGGGGGAAAGAATTATTCTATAATCACAACACTGCAGTGGAAAATCTTCTGTTGCAGTCCTACTGATATTTTCAATTACAGTATCTATAATCCCTGATCACTGGCAAGTTGGAGCTTGTGGGAGCTTTGTAGTCCAAAACATCTGGAGGGCATGAGGTTGCTGTCCTCAGCTTTCAGCCAGCATGACAAGAATTAGACGGCAGCAGTTTTAAAAAATGGAGAAGCTCGTGAATATGGCAGAAGCAAAATAAGCTATGGAAATCTGCAATTCCAAGAGCTTCCAAGGAAACTTGAAGCCAGGGTTGAAGAAAATGGGGGAAGGAAGCTTGAAGCCAGGGTTGAAGAAAATGCAAGTAATTAAAAAAGGTCTAAAGCAGGGGTCCCCAACGCCCGGTCCGCAGCCTGGTGCCAGTCCATGGCCTTGACTGGACTGGGCCAAGGAGAGAGATCTCCTACCCCACCCTGCAAGCACTCCACCCTGCAAAGCCCCTTCGTGCATGTGTGCGTGCACCACGTGAGCACCCCACCCCTTGATGCCAGTGTGTACACATGCTGCACAAGTGCTCCTGCCCTTCACACATGCACATGTGTGCGTGCCACGCGAGTGCCCCTTCATGCATGTGCACGAGTGCCCATGTGCTACCCCTTCGCACATGCACATGAGGGGTGCCCTGCCAACCCCCCGCACATGGACCCCATCCCCCCCAACCAGCCCATGGTGTCAAAAGGTTGGGGGCCACTGGTCTAAAGAAAGTTCCCAACCTTGGCTCCCCAGATGTTCTTGGACTCCCAGAAGCCTTCACCTGTGCTGGGCTAGATTTCTAGGAATTACAGTTCAAGAACATCTAGGGATCCAAGTTTGGGAACCACTGGTTTAAGCACTGATAGCTGAGTTTTAAATATGGTGGCTTGGAGGTTAAGCATCAGATGTAGGAAATGAGTTCAAGCTACATATGTTCTTAAACACTGTGAATAACAACAATAAATGAGGCAAAGTGAGAACTGCATACATATTCTACTATTCCTGGAACTTGTAATAAGCAGCATAAAGAATGTTTTTTATGATGTGAACTGCTCATCAGTTCACATGACAATAAACTGAGGCATGCTACATGCACACTCAGTAGAGAGTGGGCCTACTGTACTCTGCTTGATCACAGTAAGGTTATAACACATGTCCTTCTAAGTACAGTGGGGTCTTGACTTGAGAACTTAATCCGTATTGGAAGGCGGTTCTCAAGTCAAAAAGTTATCAGGTCAAATCTGCATTTCCCATAGGAATGCATTGAAAAACATTTGATTCGTATACTGTACTCTGCTTGATCACAGTAAGGTTATAACACATGTCCTTCTAAGTACATTCCTTCTTTACAACTTTTCAACAGTACCTTGCACTTTACAATGTAGCATTTATAGAGTTGATCAGAAGTCTTATTTTTGTATAATACAGGTGAAATTATCTATAAATTGACGTTGAACTATTATAAAATAATCCTTTTAACCACTTTTTTCCCTGACTACTTCCCTCTTTATGTTGCCATACAACTGTTTTCAGGCAAATGTGCCAATTCAGTTAATCTAAGCTGGATCCCTGCTGCTCTTTTCAGATGTATGAAGCTCTGGTTTCCAATGCAGGCTGATGAACATCCACTCACCAAAGGTTCTTGAGATGTGGGTATTCGTATATGAATATCCCCGTGCAGCTGGACTAAATGAGGGTCTGCCCCTGGGGCTGGACTGTCCGCTCACACATCCAGTGGCCTTGCTCATCCTTCCAATCACTCTTGGAATGCCGCTCTCTTCCCCCTCGGCTAGCCACTTGGCAGTCATGCAGGGATACTCGTCCCCTCTCCTCCTGCCTGGAGTGGCTAGCTGAGCGGGAAAAGAGCGGTGCTCCGGGAGTGATTGGAAGGATGAGCAAGGCCGCCGTCGGCGGACGTGTGAGTGGACGGTAATTCTCTAAAAGGTAAACAAGAACCATTAGCACACAACCAGATTAGAAAACATTACAAAAGTGACTCTTTGTTTTTTTCAGGGCACAAATAACTAACACAGATAAATGTAGGCAGACTTAAATACATTTCATGAACACATTTGAAATGCTATTTTGCTATTCCCCACTCCTTGCAATTGTACCTCTCAAGTGAAAAGGCGTTTAAATGGACCTTCTGGTACACAACAATTTCTGACCTACCTTATCCTAAACCTCAAAACTGTGACTTGTTCCTAATGTTTAAAGAATCCAACTCTGGGGCCATCTCCACTTCCTATTAACTCCATTTTAAACTTTCTAGTCAATTCGTATACTGTATTGTCCTTCCAACGCTCCTCTACCTCCTATGATAATTAAAATTTAAAGCCCAAACCCTGGCTTTACCTAACACAGTGTTCTCTACAGCTTCCCTGTCCAATCCTTGGCTTCCTCAGCCTTTTAAACCGCTGGGATCGTCCTTTTTCCCCCAGCTGTTCACACCATACTATTTTTTTAAATAGGCGCACAGCCATGTGGCTTTAACACTGGACAAGAAGAGAGCTGATATGGCAAGCTTTCCATCTCTAAATGCAGCACAGAGAGGACCAGAGGAAGGGAAATGCAAAGAGAAGTAACACGGAAACAATATGCCGTTGCTTCATATATAGAAACAGGCTGAACGACACTCTGGATGCCCTTCCCGTTCCCCACTGGGCACCTGCGTCCTTCAATTGCCATGGGATAGACAGAAGCTTAACAGGTAAAGCTTTAATCCTTCCCCCCCCCCCTGGAAATGCACGGGGAAGGTAGTTTTGTAGACAACAAGGGATGCAGCATTGAATGGCTCTGCTTGTGAGCCCCCAGTGAACCCAGCGCGCATCCCCGGTCTCTCCTCAGGAGAGATTGCCAAGGCCAGGCAAAGCGCCTTCTGCTCATTTTTACGCCCCCTCCCCGGGCGGGTGCCGTGCCAAAAAGGAAGACGCCCAGGCAAAGGGAAGCTTCACCTGCTCGGGAGCGGCCCAAGGCAACATGCCGACGAACCTCTCGCCTGCAAGCCAGCCCTGCGCCTGTCGGGCCCTCTCCCTCCCCCTCTCCGCCCTTCCTTTCCGCCCCACAGCCAAGCGCCTTCCCAACGGCCACCTCAAGCAGCCTCGCGCCAGCGTCACGTCTCTCTTCCTAACGGTCACCGCTTTAAATTCATCCCCGACCCCCCTCCCTCCCTCCCCTCTCACCTCGAGAGATCCAGGAGAACACTCGGGCTCAAGCCCCGCCCACCGGCAACTCGCGCGGAGCACTCTGGGAGGGCCGAAAATGCCCAGGCATGCCGGCCGGTTGGTTTTTTTCCCCGCCTTTCGCGGCGCCCTCGTGAGGCGCCTGCTTTCTCTTTGTTCCCGCTCCGCAAAAAGCCGGAGGAAAAAAAACATTACGGACAGCGTGGGGTTCCGTCCTAAATAAGCTATAATTGGAAAGCAGGGAGCATCCAGTACAGCTGCTCGTTTTATTAACAAGGAAAAAAAAAGTTTTTTAATTTAATAAGTGAATCTGGTCAGCGCTGGGTCGACAAATGCTGCCTGTGAGAGCAAACGTGCACTATCGCCTTCCTTCCCTGTTTATAAACTTCAAGTTGTGATTATGCAACGAGTTCCATTTCAAGTTTTAAATTTTAGCTTTTTTTCTGCACGGGGGAGAATGAGACGTTCAGTAACAGATTTCTGACTTTTTTAACCTTTATTATTATCCTCATCAGAAACACAAGTACCTGTCACTTCTTTAAAAAGTAAAGGTTCCCCTTGACAATTTGTCCAGTCGTGTCCGACTCTAGGCGGCGGTGCTCATCTCCATTTCCAACCCATAGAGCCAGCGTTTTGTCCGAAGACAATCTTCCGTGGTCACGTGGCCAGTGTGACTAGACACGGAACGTCATTTACGTTCCCACCGAGATGGTACCTATTTATCTACTCGCATTTTGCATGCTTTCGAACCGCTAGGTTGGCGGAAGCTGGGACAAGCGATGTGAGCTCACTCTGTCATGTGGATTCGATCTTACGACTGCAGGTCTTCTGACCTTGCAGCACAGAGGCTTCAGCAGTTTACTATGGTGCAATTATTGTCTAGTTTGCTACCCCTTGAAAAGTCTAGTACACATTAGCTGAAGAATACTGTCTCACCTGGGTTCAAAAGATTAACACCTGGTGTCTCAACTTTCAGAGTTCAATGGGAGCTTTCAGTATTGAACCATGATCTTTTGGAGAAATGATCCAGCAGAGCTCATTCTTGAGTCATCTCTTTCTTTAGAGCACACCACCCCATCCATCCACATGAATGAGCTTGTGTGCACACATAGTTTCAAGGAGACAAATGCAGCTCACTACCTCACAAAGCCCTGTGAGATCAGGCTGAGAGAATAACTGGCCAAAGATCAGTCAGTGAGTTTCATGGCTCAGTGGAGACTCAAATGTCAGTGTGGAGTAGAAACTAAACCCCTCCAGTCACTTGCTATACATTGTTTAGAGAGCTGTTTTTAGGTCCCCACCCATCCCACTAATTTTACTAACCAGTTATCTTCACCCTTCCATACTGTTGTTAGCCAGTTGGTGCAGTTCCCAGCACTTTCCCACTGATCTTACCGACTAAACTTGACTGCTTCTGGCCCTATCCACATACTCTTACCCATCCTAGCTTTTTCCCCCAACTTTCCCTTCTACTTGTATTCTTAGTTACCCAACTTTGTTCTCCACTTCCAACTTTTCTTTGCTAAGTCCATCCACTTGATGTGATGCTGTGTATGCTTGGTTTATACCCTCTAGCCTAGCTGTTAGTTCCCGCAATAGTTCCAACCACTCAAAAGGACTTTTTCAACTCTTTCCTCCATATCTTTGACTATCTGTAAGCACTCTGGTGAGTTTTACTAGCAGGGGTTTCGTCCTCCTCCTGCAACTCCTACCCCAGTCATTGGTCCTTATCTGATCACCAACAGCTTTACACGCCCTACACAACTTACTTTCCTGTAACTGGTACAGAGGATGAAGTTTCATTTGATGAATGAATAAAGACTATCAATAGCAATTATTCTGAGACTGTGTATGTACAAAAAATAACAATTTCCTTGCAAGGGGGAGGAAAAAGGTAAAAAGTGACAGAAAAAAAGTTACTTTATTTGACAATCAGATATGGGAATGGTCACTTTAGTAAAACACTGTGGCCTATCTCTTCAGACTTCTAGGAGTTATCTTAACGTTTTATACATTAACTTTAACGGAATCAAGAAGCCAACTGAGAATTAGTTCAGTGTAGTAATATATGTGGTGCTGGAGGAGACTCTTAAGAGTCCCTCGAGCTGCAAAGAGAACAAACCTATCCATTTTGAAGGAAACCAACCCTGAGTGCTCACTGGAAGGACAGATCCTGAAGCTGAGGCTCCAATAATTTGGCCATCTCATGAGAAGAGACGACTCTCTGGAAAAGACCCTGATGTTGGGAAAGTGTGAAGGCAAGAGGAGAAGGGGACGAAGAGGACGAGATGGCTGGACAGTGTCATCAAAGCTACTAACATGAATCTGACCAAACTCCAGGAGGCAGTGGAAGACAGGAGGGCCTGGTGCGCTCTGGTCCATGGGGTCACGAAGAGTCGGACACGACTAAACAACAAAGTAATATATTCAAGAATCTGAGAAACAAGAATTTAAATTTAATCCAATACAGGGACATTCACTGGAGTTACACTTGCCATTACAAAAATGAGAAGTCCTCTCATTTTTGGCCACACACACAAACACAGACACATATATTACAATTTGATCAGCTGTCCTTCAGATCAAACAATTAACTCTCTTGCCTGACCGTGGAGCAATAATTTTCTTCTGCCTCCTTGGTTTGGCTAGTGAAGGAGAGTATTATTTGAGAAACTTTTCACCATGTTTTGCTTTGTGCAGGAAGCTAAAAGAGAGTCAATATCACTGATAACCTTTGAGGTTTTTTCCAAAGTTTCAGCTATGTTCTTTTCACCAAGAAGGTTAGGCATATGCATTTCCTCTGGACTGTTTCCCTTTACTGTGTTGAAACATGGATTTCTTTTTACCGTGGTAACTGTACGTGGAATATTGCTGTTCTCCACTAAAACTATTATAACTATAGTTAAGGAAAAAATTAACACAAAACTAAAATTCTAATTCTGTCCCACAGCAGTGCCAGAATTCTGCAGAACCCTTTTGCACTATTTATATTGGTATTGCAGAATCTAATATACATATAACACTATGACTGTGGCTCTAGAGAAATGTACGGTGAAACTTACTTCTTAAAGATGTAAGAAAGATTGCACTGCAGAATTTAAAATGCTCCCACAGGATATATCAAATATCTGCACCTAAACAGAGTTATTAGTTTTTTTTTTAAAGGAATTGACCAGAATCCTGTTGTGAAACACCACATGCATGATGGAAATTATGCAACTGATTTTTGCAGTGTCACCTGTTATGCTTTCGAATGCGGAACTGAGTGTGTGGCTTAAGTATGTCCAAACAGATTACAGATGAGCAGAATGGTTGCACACACAGTTACGCTATTTTGAGTTTACACTACAAAACTGTAGTAGGATTCTGGCCAGTCATGCAAAACGAAATGTTAACATTTAATAATTTTCACAGGAAGTTTACTGCTAATGTAATTGCCAGAGTGGGCCAACATTATTTGTTGTTTCTATATGCTGTCAAGTTGGAACCAACATAAAGTAACCCACATAAGGCTGTCAAGGTAAGTGAGATAATATAAGGAGTGTTTATTCCAGTTCCACCCCTGCCTCTATGAGTTTTCTTGGAGAGTGGAGGTTTCAACTGAAGCCACCTAAGACCTAGTTCATCAATCTGTCCACTATTATCACACTAGCTAACAAGATTTATTATTGGTTGTCAAGGGAAGGATTTTCTAATATATCAAGAAGAGTTCTATGGAGTCAAAGCATGTTAGAAAAGGATACAGTTGAATCTTTTTATTTTTTCAAGTTCAGCAGCAACTGACCTATTAAAAAAATGAAATTGAGAATGTTTCTGATACTGTATCGCCATTTCATCAAATTGCTTTTCAATCTACATTTTAGTTACATTACTCAGAATTCTACTAGTTATTCACACAGGCACTGCATGCAATGGCATAAATTCTCGTTGCTGTTCTATTCCCTATCAGTCACTAGTCGCTTGACTTCACGCACATTATAACTAGTGGCAACTTGCTGCTGTAATTTACACCACTGCACTAAAACTGACATAATTAGCTACTAAACATACATTCCCTATCAGTCACTAGTCGCTTGACTTTGCACACATTAAGGAATATAACTAGTGGCAACTTGCTGCTGTAGTTTACGCCACTGCACTAAAACTGACATAAATAGCCACTAAACATATGGGCAGTCAACATCATCTCTGTGACTACTTTGACCTTTATTCCATGCCGAGATTTAAAGGATAACCTCATGTCCATGCTTTAAGATCTTTTGCTCAAGCTCTGTTTTGTGCTTGTGTGTGTTATATAACTAGAGAGATCTTTTTCCCCAGTAGGACTCAAACTTTCAAATGCGCTTCCTGAGAGGGCAAACCTAGTGCCTACTTTGCAAGCTTTAAGAAGCCATCCTAAGACAATTTTATTTATTGAATTATTTTAAGTATATATGATTATTTTGCTTTGTTCTTCTGATTTTATTTGATGGCCGTTACTCAAGCCCCTTCGCCACGACAAGGCAGCAATCCATGAAGGAGGCTATTGTTTCTATCGTGCAGTATCCTGAAATACAGATTTTATACTAAATTGTAAGATCTTTTTTTAAATAGGATCATTCAAGTGTTGAATGATCAGGGGGAGATTCAGGCGGGCTTTTTCTGTAACAAGTATTAGATAACCTGGACTCTCATCAGTCTTATTAACTTGGCTGTTATAGTAACAATAGCTGTTAGGATAGCAGCATCTAATGTCTACAATAGAAACATGTACAATAGTCTTCTCCAATGTAGCATCCTCTAGATTTTTGGACTTCAGCTGCTATCAATCCTGGCCAGCATAACCAATGCTTATGTATGATGAGGGCTGTAGCCCAAAACATTTGGATCATGCCACTATAAAAAAGGCTGGTTTATAATGTGGGTTAAAATGCACCGTTAGCATATACATTAAAAGAGTATAAAATCTGTCACATTGCCACTGACGTATTGTTCTTTCTGCAGTTCAAGCCCATAAAAACATAGTGTTCAATGCTTAACATTTTGCTTGATTGCTTTCATTTATGGTACTATGAAACATTTACATATACTGCACCTGCTGCCTCTTGGCAGAATCATGTGGTGATTGTTATGTGCCAGCAAGCTGCATCTGAAGGTGATCCTATGAATTGCTCACTTTCATAAGGGCCTAATGTTAACAAGTCTGCCAGAACAATGGCAAACCATGTTGTCTAATTTGAAAAGAAAGTGCTGTTTCTGTAAGACCTTCAAGATTCTTAATCCAATAAAAGAATCATTTCCTTTGAAAAACCCTATGCACTTTGGAGGAGTCATTTGGGCTATTTATAAGATTTAAAATGACTACCAGTTTTCTTCAGGTTCAGGAACAGTTTGTGGTGCGGCCGTGTATGCGTCGTTGTTCAAGCTTCTGCACCATTCTACCGCTATGGTGATGTACCTGCATTAGAGAAGATGGTTATGTATTATATCTACTAGGAGTGGGCAACAACAGCCACTTAAGATATACGGCCATTGTCCAGGCCGACTGGCAGCATCTGCGGGTGGCAATTATATAAAAAAGAAGGTATTTGCAAATTCTGACTAGAGCATGTTTTCCTTATCTCTCTGTTGATGTGTGTGTGTAGTTGTGTGTGTGCATCTTGTAACAGATAAATCCCTTACTCTTTGAGTGTCTCCAGAGAATGGCTTTTCTTGCTCTTGGCTAGGCAATGCACCATACAACCTTCAGTAAGCCAATTACTGTTCTTCTCAGAATCATATTGACATGTACTAGCAGCAGCTTGAAATGTTTACTGTGCTGAAAAGGGAGCACCTGAATCCCAATATTTTTATTTTGTTTGAAAAAGGTCCCTCACATGGCAAGGGCCAATTCTATATAATCTAAGAGGGGCCTTTTTTTTTGATGCAGGCCCAACAGCAGGGTGTTCTTCAAAACCAGAAGCATTGCTAAAACATCCTCATTTTTTAAAAATATAGTCTGCATTACTGTCAAAAAGGGAAGTTCAAGTGGCAAAACAAGAGACAAAACAGAAATACCTATTATTAAACTGTCTGTAACAAATTCTTAAAATGTTCAGTTCCAAAAGCAAACGAACAATGAAAGAATGACTCTACGTATTATGTAATATTAGGAAATTTTGCTCATTGAAGTAATTTTGAATATATATATACACAGAGACTTGTATATTCTCCACATGCTTATTTTAAAATAAGTTTTACAATTCTTGAATGGCAGACAAAGTCTTATTTGCAATTATGAGCATATCATAAATACAGTATCTATATTTACCTTTCATAGATTCCTGGAGAATTTATCTGCACAAGTTGCTGTGCTCCTCCTGGAGACATCATTTTACACCAGCCTGTGTTAGCCTCTTCAGATTTCTTAGAGGGAGAAATCAAAATTAAGAAACGGACCGTCCTTGGCTCTTGGTGTACTTTCTTTCAGTTTAGCCCAATCACTGGGAAGATGTCAGAAGACATAGCAAAATCCTTTAAAATGTTTTGCCTGTTTGTGTTTTTTCCCAAGGAGAAAATAATCTTACTATATATTATTCATACAGTATTGATTCGTGGCACAGTGGTTAAACTGCAGCCAAAACTGCGCTCACGACCCGGAGATCTATCCCAGGTAGCTGGCTCAAGGTTGACTCAGCCTTCTATCCTTCCGAGGTTGGTAAAATGAGTACCAGCTTGCTGGAGGGGGGGGGCAATGTGTAGCCTGCGTAATTAACTTGTAAACCACCCAGAGAGTGCTTTAGGCACTATGGGGCAGTATATAAGCAGGACACTTTGCTTTTGCTTTAAAAGAGTTCTGGATATGCTGAATTTTTAAAATTCTGAATTCCAAATACGAATCCCAAATCTGAATTTTGGTGCTAGTGAACACCCTGATTATGAAGCACATACAAACTTTTCTTTTAGTAAAAAGCCAGAAATAAAGAGACACAAAACAAAGAAGTAGCAGAAGGCCTTTCCAAATGCTTCCCCCCACCCTTCAGAATAATTCTGCATGAGCTTCAGACATGCTCATTTGAACATGCACTTCACTTACAAAAAGGTCATGGCTTCTCAGCATTCAAATAGCCATGTGTTAGAAAATGTTATTCTGCCTTCCTGCTAAAGTAAAGGGATGTCAAAATTAAGTCAAAAGTAGGACGTGCTCTTCAAAATCATGTTTTTATTGCCTTTTATAATTTATTGTGTTGCGTTTGTATCACCTCTTCTTGTACTATAAAGTTGCATCTGAAATAGTGACCATAATAAGGTTTTCAAGGTATCTGAGACAAGGAGTGTATTCGCAAAGGCTTTCACGGCCGGGATCTAATGGTTGTTGTGGGTTTTTCGGGCTCTTTGGCCGTGTTCTGAAGGTTGTTTTTCCTAACATTTCATCAGTCTCTGTGGCCAGCATCTTCAGAGGACCAGAGCAGAGTGCTGTCCTCTGAAAATGCCGGCCGCAGAGACTGGCAAAACGTTAGGAAGAACA